AACAAAATTAGATTGTCATTTAGCCCTCATGGTTTAGTTCAATAAAAATAAAAATAAACAGTTACATCGGCGACTCGCTCAATTGTCTTTTAATCCACGGTAATGCTAACACCGGCGGTTCACTCCATTTTCTTGTAAAATATATCCCATCTTCTTTTGCTATCCATACGCGTAACTGACCACATCGAGGAATCAGTCTTGGTCCCGCTTTGTATACTAAAATGTCATAAACATACTCTCCTTTACTAAAAAAACATGCCCATCTTGTTAAACCGGATATTTCATCATGGAATTCAATGATGTATGGTTTCGCATTGAAAGTCATGTTTTTGGTGCCTAGATCGTCGTTATTAGAACGACAATGATATTCGAGGATTCTACCGGGACCGAGTTGGTTTTGAATTATTACACGATTTTTTACACAAGCTTCATTTAGTTCAAAAGATGTAGCAATAACCAACATAAAAAACATAATATAATTCATTTTTTTTAGATACAAAATCATTGCTGGAATCATAAATACATCAATGGATAGTATTTATACTTTTTTTGTGAAAGTCAATCTTCTTTTAGTTAGTAAATAATCTTTTATATGGTTCTATCTAAATTAAAACATACATAATTAATGAGATTTATGGTTGAATAGTTGACCAATATAGTCAAACCAAATACGATTACTTAAGAAAGATCTTTAATTAAATTGTTGACCAATATAGTTAAGCAAATAAATTTACCTTAAAATTATAGCTGACCATGAAATTCAAACGAAACGTTTAAGATATAACTAGGTTAGGCTTCTTAAAATTATATTGATGAATCAAATTAAAATGAATCGATTAAAACATCATAATTCATGACAGTCTCATTTATTGGTTAGATCATATACATATTCTAAATTTTATTATTCAGCTCCTTGATTTTTCTTTAGATAATTGTTAATTTGAAATCTAGTAAGATCTAAAAGTATCATCCTCCAAACAAACCACCTGGTCTGCCATTTTTGCATTCTTATCCAATTTATAACCTTATCAACGTTGTCCATGAAACTAATGGAAAATCAAACTGAGGCTTCGTCATTGGGCCAAACTTTGGGCTGAAACTTTCGATTAAATCAGGATGGCTTAGAAAAATTGCTAATCTTAGTTAGGAAGTAAGAGAAAAACAAGTAATGGCTTTGAAGTGCGTGATGCTTTCTCTCTTATCCAATAGCTT